TCTTTCACTTAGCATGATGTTTTCAAGATTCATTCATGTGGTAGCATGTATCAGAACTTCGTTTCGTTTTATGGCCAAATAATATTTCGTTATTTGGATATACTACATTTTATGTCTCTTTTTACCAGCTTATAGATATTTTGATAGTTTCCACTTTTTAACTACTATGAGTAATTCCACGGTGATTGTTTCTATTGTGTAGATATGTTTTCAGTGATCTTAGTTATATACCTAGGAGGAGAGACAGAACTTGAAGACTTAAGAAAGAAAGAACTTTCTGACAATGGGATTCGCCCACATTGAAGATTGTTCTGCTGCTGAAGCAGTGAGCCAGTAAATTTATTTTTCTTAACAAATACATGGTGTTTACTATGTGCTGGTTAGTAATCTTAGTACTTTACAATTAATTATTTAAAAATATTTTGAGATATTCACTATTTACAGTAGGGAAGTTTAGGACCTTGCCCAAGATTACACATTGAGTAAATGGTGGAGCTGGGCTTGAAATCCAGGTGGTCTGGATCTAGAGTCTGTACCCTTAATAGCAGGAATAATAACTCTATGCATGTATTAAATTCTTACAATTTTTCAGGCTCTATGCTACATGCTTGCGTTCAAGCAGAGGCTGGTAGTCATCTTTTAGGAATGTTTTAGAAATGATCATATCATCAGGTAGAAATTACCTTTGAGTATCTTGAATCTCAAGGTTCTGTTATTTCAAGGATGGATGGAAGTGGGGGAAAAGCCAGCAACAAGATGTCTGACCTGAGGTTTTTAAGATGATCAGAATTTGTATCAAAAAGGAAACTGTGCAAATGAACGATAAGTATTTTAGGAATTCAGTTGACAAGACTAGTCAGGACATGATAATAGATTGTATATAACATGAAGGGATTAACTAATAGTGGGTTTAAATTGTGAGTGGAAGGTTTAGAAAAATGAAGGCATTAAAGTTTCATGGGAAAGTGATCTCCTTTTTCAAATGTTTAGTTTCATGTAGTGGCAGGACATATTAGGGTAAATAGATGGCATTTAGAAGCTGGCTGAACATTTGGAATTGGAGTGGTATTTTCTGGAGTCAGTTACATAAAGGGTGGTTGTTTGAAACCAAGTGAACAACAGCAAGTAATACATCCAAGAAGAAAGAACAGTGCCACCTGCATGGCTAGTCCCTCATCTCATTCAGGTCTCAACTCAAATGATTACCTTCTGAGTGAGGCCTTTCCTGATTTTCCTGTTTTAAACTGAAATACCTGTCTTGACCCACCCTGCATTCCCATCCCCAACTGTATCTTCCCCCCCCCTTTTCCTTTTCATGGCACTTAACTCCATCTAACATATCTTTTGCTTATTAATTTTATTTTTTGTCTTCCCCTATCAGAATTTAAACTTTATGAGTGCAAGGATTTTCCTATTTCTAGAAAAATGCCTATAATAGGCACTTACTAAATGTTTGCTGCATGAATGCATGAATATTAAGTTTAATATTCTTTGTGGAAACCAATAGGTTTAGTTTCCTTATGGAAACCCATCATTAATAAGGATATTGGTTGCTACTTATAGAATTAGACTTCATATATTTTCTACTCAGGGGTTGGCAAACTTTTCCTGTAAAGTGCCAGAGAGTAAATATTTTTCCAGGCCATGTGGTCTCATTGCAGCTATTCAACTCTATTGTAGTATAAAAATCAAATATAGACAAATCTATAAATGAGTGAGCATGGCTGTGTTCCAATAAGACTATTTATGAGCACTAAAGTTTGAATTTTATATAATTTTTAAATGTCACAAAATATTACCCTTCTTTTGATTTGTTTCCAATCATTTAAAAATGTGTAAAAACCATGTTTAGGCCGGACTCGGTGGCTCAACCTGTAATCCCAGTACTTTGGGAGGCCGAGGTGAGTGGATTGCCTGAGCCCACGGGTTCGCGACCTGCCTGGACAACTTGACGAGACCTCATCTCTACAGTAAATTAAAAATTAGCCGGGCGTGGTAGCACGCGCCTGTAGTTCTAGCTACTTGGAAGGCTGAGGCAAAAGGATCACCGGAGCCCAGCAGGTCGAGGCTGCAGTGGCCGGGAGCGGCCACTACACTCCAGTCAGGGTGACAGAGTAAGACTCCAACTCAAAAAAAAAACCAAACAACCATGTTTAGTTTACAGGTCATACAAAACAGGCAGGTGACCAAATTAGACATGCAAGTTATACTTTGTCAATCTCTACTTCTGCTGGTTTCTTAATTTTCCATCCTTGGTAGGGAGCAACAATGTGGATTAAACTTTGAAAGAAAAACTAATTCAGAAATACTTCTGTTTGACTTCAGAAACTTTCACGTTGACTGGGCATGGTGCCTCATGCCTGTAATCCCCGCACTTTGGGAGGCCAAGGTGAGAGGAGTGCCCAGGAGTTTGAGACCAGCCTGGGCAACATAACAAGATCTTGTCTCTACAAAAACAAAAATAAAAAATTTAGCCCAGTGTGGTGGTGTGCATCTGTAGTTCCAGCAACTCGGCAGACTGAGGCAGAAGAATCAGTTAAGTCCAGGAGGTAGAGGCTGCGGTAAACTGTGATCGCACTGCTGCACTCTAGCCTGGACGACAGAGAGATTTCAGCTCAAAGAAAAAAAGAAACTTTCATGTTGTCTTATTTGTTTTCCTGGGAACCTTAGGTTTTCATTATGTGCATATGATGTTACTATTTAAATGAATTTGCATTCTCTTAGCAAAGCTGGGCAAAGCCCACCCAGGCATAAAAGTTTGCCGTTATTTACAAGGTGAATAATTCTCATATGGAAAATCAAGAGTCATTAGCTAGGCCTAATGCCCAAAGGAGTGTCACTGTGGATGAGAATTGTGTTGCAGTTTTTAACATCATTAGTAACACATTTCTTGAATAAGCTGCAAATGCTTTTAATAATATATCTCAGGGTTAATTTTAGCTATGCTACATTGGCACTTTTTGCTCCTCTACTGAAAAAACAACAAAAAAAAAACTATTCTATTATCAAATCAAGCTGTATTTTGGATAAGGCATCACATTTTCCTCAGTAAGCACAAAGAAGAGAGGAAAAAATATTTTCCATTTGCAACCCATTTTAATTAATTCTAAGGTTTTCACATACTTGATTTTGTTCAATTCTTACAACAATTTCATGATGTTAGGCAGCCTTATTACCTATTCAAATGTGGGAGAATGGATACTGAGGATGAGTAATTTGTCCAAGGTCACAGCACCAGGACGCTAAACAAGACCTTCTGACCTTCTGAGGTGCCGACACCTCACTGTCACCTGCAGCAGTCTTTGGTTTCAGTGCTATGAACTCTCTTCACTGCCTCCTGGTCTCATGAAGATGTTCAGAGCCCTAGCTGCCTTGGGCTCAGCCACACTTGCCTTATACTTACATCGTGACCACTGTAGTGGCCTCTTTCATCGCTCCCACTGTTGCTATTTACAGCTCTGTTTTCTTCTCCAGCCATTTTGGCTACTGCACAATTCTTCTAGGCATGTTCCGCCTTACTTCCTTAAATATCTGGCCTTTTTTCTTTTCTTAATAACTGTGATCCCTGAAGACCTCACCTTATCCACCAGCAACCATTGAAGGGTCTTGGCAAAGACAGAAAGGGGTCAAATATATAGACCCCAGTACTTCAGGTCTAAGCGATTAGTAAAATTAGGATGCCAGGGATTGGACACAGGAAGACATGATAGGAGCTCTTTTTAAGGAGAGGAGATTTAGAGTTTGGTTTAAATGTGTAATCTTGGTGGAACAGCGTACTAGAGTTGGCTTTCTATCTCCCAAAAGGTAAAATGGAGGAATAAATTGAAATAAATACCTGAGGCACCAGCCAACTAGCAAAATTTATAGTTAGAATTAAAGTCTTTATGTGCCTAATTTTAAATGCTTCTTAGAGGTCCCATTTAAACAACTTCTTCATTATGAAAATGGATACTTCCCATGCCTTTTAAATGTTGCTAGGGAGGATGTCATAATATTTATGACATCTTAATTTAAGATGGTTGTGCATCTTTTGAATCAAGGAGTGGCATATAAAATGATTCTTCAGTGTCCCAGTGTGGAAAATGTTATAGAATGTTATGCTTGAATTTTTTTCCCTTCTCCATTTTGGTGTTTATATGGTATCTTGGATATTTTTATATTATTTTAATTGTATTTGTGCTTGGTTAAAAAAACTGCCTGCTATTTATGTATTAACAGATTTTTAAATACTCCTTTAAACCCTTTCCTATTCCTGTACCTCCCTGCCCTTTCGTTGCTGCATTCTCAACCACCTGAAGATAACCCAGGAAGCTCGGTGTAGACCAATGGATGTGTTAGGGAAAACAAGAGAAAGAAGAACTTACTATGTCTCAATGTTTAAAAGCACATGATGTCTTATGTATTTTAAATTGGAAGAAATAAGAAAGTCAAATTTATACATTATCATGTAAACATCTCAATTCTAGCAAAAGGCTTAGACAACATGATAAAGTTAATTAATTGAAGCAGACAAGTATGAATACCGTTTCAGCCTGTACCTACATGAACAAAGCTGCTGGTGACTTAATATTAAAGCCGATGCTCATTTGTTATTTTTTAAGTCCTTGGGCCCTTAAGAATTATGCTAAATACCTATGCTCTATAAATGGAACAATAAGCCTAGATGACAGCTAAAACCGAAAAAAGAAAAAGAAAGAAAAGAAAAAAGTTGTGATGTATTTTGCCTTTGACTCAGAGTCATGCTGACTGACCACGGCAGATGCTGCTGTATCATCCACTTGATATTTTGTCACCTGCCTAGACTCAAAAGGACATGAGAATATGCAGTTAAATTCTCTAAGCTCTTCTTTTCTTAAAGTGAGGCAGTTATACAGGTTGTACCTCTAGATTTCTTGATTCACAGGCTAGTGTTTTCCTGAATAGACTGTATTGTCTTACTGTAAGTTTTTGAACTTACAAGAAGTCAGATGTTTTCATGGACTCTTCTCTCTCGCATACAGATGTCCAGAGGGCTTCTTGGGAGAATATTGTCAACATCGAGACCCCTGTGAGAAGAACCGATGCCAGAATGGTGGGACCTGTGTGGCCCAGGCCATGCTGGGGAAAGCCACGTGCCGATGTGCCTCAGGGTTCACAGGAGAGGACTGCCAGTACTCAACCTCTCACCCCTGCTTTGTATCTCGCCCCTGTCTGAATGGGGGTACCTGCCATATGCTCAGCCGGGATACCTATGAGTGCACCTGCCAAGTCGGTTTTACAGGTAACCAATGGGATTCAAGCCTGTGCTTTCCTACCTTCAGGAGACACCTTTATTTAGCATTTTTAGATCTTGGAGTCTGGCTCTTGAGGGTTCCCCAACTCTGGTGTGCATTTAACATTATGATGAGGAACTGGAATGTTCCAGACAACCATCTGTGACTTCCTTTTGAGAGTTTTGAGGGATGGAGGAAGAGGAAAAAAGGATCAAATACTTGGAAACATTTAACTGCTTAAAATATATATGTCGGGATGGGGGATCAGAATTACTTCACTACAAGAAATACTCTGTCACCAGAAGACAAGCTGCTGGTGCTATTGATGACTCGCTCATTGAAATCTCCTTTCCCTCGACATCCAGGGCACTGGCTATTCTACTTTTCTGAACTTTGATTGTTCTTTTGCTTCTTCACTGCCTTGTCCTTATCTGTTAAGTTTTTGTTTTCCCTGGAGCGTTGTTTTCAACCCCCTTTTGACGCATATCATGGTTCTCCTAGGGAATCTCACTGTCTTCAATGGCCTCCACTGCCACAACCTTCATCAGTTGCTGGTGGCTTTCATAGTTATCCCTTTAGCTCTGCCCAACCCTGACATTCAGGCTCTTAGTTCTAACTATCCATTGCATGTTCTTGGAAATTCTACAGGCACCTTCAGCTCCGCATGTAGACAGAAGTATGTAACACCAGTGTGCACTCCAAACACCCGAACTGAAAACGCCTTCTACCTTGTTCTTGTTTCACCTCCACTAAGGCATCTAGCCCTGCCTCTGAGTTACCTCTCACCTGTCTGCTCCTCTCTACTTACTCTGCTCCTCTGTAGTTGAGGGCCGGGTCATATCTCTCCTGGACGTCTGAAGTGATTTCCTAATGGATTTTCTTGTCTTCATTCTCTCTCCATCTTGTCCGCCCATCGCATTGCTACATCTTTACTCACAAATGTCGATCTACCAGTGCCACCTGCCTGCAGTGTCTAATGTTTTCCATCATCCAACAAATAAACTCCAAACTCTCTTACATGGCTTTCGTGACTTTTTATAACCCAGCCCTTACTTCTTTTTATAGCTTGACGTCCCCAAAAGCACCAAGACTAGCCATACCGAATTCTCCTCATTTTCTGAAAATGCCATAACTTCTTATTGCCTCATGCAGGGGCACATCATTTTGTCTGAAATGCCCTTTTCTACAACTGGTGATTCCCAGTGTGTCTTAGTGAACCTTTCACGATTCCTTTAGGTGGTTGACCTCTAGGTTCTAGTACTTTTATGTGTCATATTTTATTGTAATTATTTTTTTCACGTCTCTCTCACCCGAATAGGTTATGGATTCTTTAGAGGTGGGTCTGAGCTTTATTCAAAGTGACCCAAAAATTTTTATTAAATTTGATGAGAAAATGAGAAACCTCCATTTTTGTCTCCCACTAACGGTTCTATACATCTAATAAGCAAAAAATGAAAAATGTAATCAGAAAACCAGACTGGATCAGTTACTTTGGAATACTCGTTCCCCTAGTTTTTCATCAAAAGGTGTTGGTGGGGTAGAAGGTAGTTGGGATGATCTGTTGTCTCTATCATGACTATGACGGCATTGATGCTGTAAATCACTGAAGAGACTTGGTGGTTATAAGAAAATTTTCTTCCTGATTGTTAGTTTTGAGTTGTTATGCTATACAAGGCAAAAGGGAGGGCATACCCACTTATTTTATTTTTTATTTTATTGTAAAGATGGGGGCTATAATTCAGAGTTAGGTATACAAATGTTCATTATGCAGGTACCCTTGTTGATGAGGTGTGCCCCTTCCTCAGGGCCTGGCAGTTTCACTCACCTGCCAGTCCCACTCCCTCCTGCCCTAGCAGTTTCCCACTGCTGTCAATCCCTTTCTTATAGTATTATGATAATTGTTCGAGGTCCGCATGTAAGTGAGAACATACGGTACTCTGTTTTTTGTTTCTGTGATAGATCACTGAGTATGATAGACTCTAAATCCATCCAAATTGCTGCAAAGTCCATATGTTTGTCCTTCTTTATGGCTGCATAATATTCCATTGTGTGTATGTACCACATTTTAAAAATCCAGTCCAGCTTCGATGGGCATCATGGTTGGTTCCATGTTTTTGCTATTGTGAATAGAGCTGCAGCAAACATGTATGTGCAGGTGTCTTTTTTGTAGAATGATTTGTGTTCCTCTGGGTATATTCCCAGTAGGGTGATTGCTGGGTCATATGGAAGGTCGATTTCTAGTTCTTTCAGAAATTGAGGGCATACCCATTTAAGATGTTGTAATCCTGATAGTGAAAATGGCAGTAATGCCTTCTTCTTAATGAAAACATCACCCTGAAGTGACCTCCAAATTAAACCTTTTTCCTTTGCCATTAAAAGAATCTCTTCTTGGTGTTCTATGGGGTTCTGATCATCTTTATACACTTGTCACTTTTGTCTATTACTTTAAGAAGTGCCATAGGTCAGGTTCATCTTTTTGGTTGTTGTGAGAGTCCTTTATTTCCGTAAGACTTTGTTTGCTCATCTCCATTGAGAGATGAAGAAGCAGAGGCAACAGGTTAGTGCCTATACATGATATATATTGAAACCAAGTTTAGGGACCTTTCTGTTTCAGTTGTGGGTAAACACTGAATAGATGCCAGAAGTAAGCATTTATATCTCTTCTCCACTGTAAATGAGTACCTCTTAGTAGAATGAGTGAAAAGATAGGAAGAATCATTCCAGCTCCTTCATTTTATTTCTGCTTAGCACCCTGAGATGTATGTGGCATGCTCAGATTTGCATTGCACATTTCTGTTTGATTTGACTTTCCTCGGTAGGCAGAGAACGCTTCCGTGTGCCTTCGTGTCACTCCTTTTCCCCTTGTAGAAAAACTGTCATGTCTCTCATTTGCTTTTCTATTGGGTCAAAGTTTTGAGGCTCTTCCTAGACAACCAGTTGGAGTATTAACCAATTCAGAGAGTTTTCATCTCTTTAGTTTAAAATATAAGAGACTTAGGCTAATGAAAACAAAAAGCCACATGATTACCAAATTTACTAGTTCCTTAAGCATATTTTTTTCTCTCTCTGTACCTCAAGGAATCTTTGTGTCCCTTGGAGTCATGCTTTAGGGTTCTCCATATCAAGGTCTTCCTACTACTGCTGGTACTTTCCTACCTGCGAAAGCCCTCAGAGTTACCTTTCTAGACCTCTGTTCTCATGACAGCTTCTGTTTCTTTTGATGTATAGGGAACCAGAGGGTCTTCATCTTCAAACACATTAAGTGATATTATTTATAGTGAGAATACAGTTACTAAAATGTTTTCTAGAGAGAGAGAGAGAGAGAGAGAGAGAGAGAGAGAGAGTGTGTGTGTGTGTGTGTGTGTTGTATCTAAAGGAAATAGAAGTAGTATTGACTTGTTTATATCGACTGAAGGGGTCTATTTAGCAATTATGTATCATAGAAAGCATCAGTACATTTTATTCATGGAACAGACATGAATTGAGCACATACTACAGGGACCCAATCCCTGACAGTATGGCATAATAGAAGGAAATAATAAACTTGATATGTGGGGGGGGGCACAAAAGATGAATTTATGGAAGCTGTAACTTTAAAACAGAATTAAGATAAGTGAGAGTTAACTAGGTAAACATGAAGGAAGGTGGCTTTTCTAACAGAGGAGCCATGTACGCAAAGACAAGGATCTGTGAGAGAGTAGCTGAATCCAGAACCTTGTTTGCGGCAGGACCTGATGGAATCCCGCAGAACTGGGTTTCGTGTGACTAATCCATAGTTCCCTGCATGTACTCCATCCACGGAGTCTGTGTCTGGGCTGAGGGTCTTGGAGGGTTTCTGGAGAGTGCCCTTAACAGTTGATCTCGAGGGGGCTCCGATTTAGACTTTGGTAAGATGCAAAGAGTTTTGGCAAGAGCTCCCTGTTGCCACCTATTGGATGGGAGATGGGGATGTCGAGGCTGGGGCTGACTCCTATTTTTGTGGCCAGTACTGAGTTCTGTGATCCTTCCTTTAGGTAAGCTGTGCCAATGGACCGATGCCTGTCTGTCTCATCCGTGTGCAAATGGAAGTACCTGTACCACTGTGGCCAACCAGTTCTCCTGTAGATGCCTGGCAGGCTTCACCGGGCAGAAGTGTGAGACTGATGTCAATGAGTGTGACGTTCCAGGACACTGCCAGCATGGTGGCACCTGCCTCAACCTGCCTGGTTCCTACCAGTGTCAATGCCCCCAGGGCTTCACAGGCCAGCATTGTGAAAGTCTCTATGTGCCCTGTGCACCCTCCCCTTGTGTCAACGGAGGCACCTGTCGGCAGACTGGTGACTTCACTTTTGAGTGCAACTGCCTTCCAGGTAAGGAGCTCCATAGTGTCCTGGGATTGGGGACAAACACTGAGCACAGGAGGGAGGTAGTGGGCTTGGCTCAGTTGCTTTTTCAGGAAGCTTCCTAAAGCAGGGAAAAAAGGAAGTGAAAATTTGGTGTGGGATGGGTTACGGTGAGGGAGGAGTTTTATGGGCCCACTGTGGTCCATAAACTGAGCAGGGGGTAATTTAGCATGTCAGAGTTTATGGTGATGGGTGGCTAGGAGATTGTTTATTGGCCGTTTTGAATAAACAGTGAGAAATAAGAGGAACAGAGCTCTGGGAAAGGGACAAGCAAAGAACACAGTGAGAGTTAGAATCAGAAAAGATGTGTATGTGATCAGTAAAGTGCTTCAGACAGGACTGACACTAATAGCAGGTGAGCAATTTTCCTACATGCTTTCACCTCGAATGGAGTAATTCATTGTTTTCTCCTCTGCCTAAATGCGCCCAGTCACCCTTTCATGATTTCCCTGGGCCTTCAGATCCCTCTCCCCTGTATCCTCTCTGACTTTGGGATAACCCTGCCCTAGCTTGAACCTGTAAAATTTTGAAACTGAGGAGGGGATCCTCTGCTAATCAGTGAGCACTTTTTGATGAGCTCTGGTAGACGATGTATGAGAAACTGTGCATAACACAGTACTCTGTCACACTTTTTACTTAGAGCACACACATATCCCCGAGAGAGAAGCAAAAAGACAAACAGTGCCTGGGAGCTAATGTTTCATAGAGAAGGAGAAAGGAGCAAGCCTGGCCAATTCATTCAACTCCTTATAAAAATGATGAGGAGGCTGAAAACCAAGAATTTTGATTGGGAACAGAATACAAGCAGCTGGAGCAGATGAATTACTAAGCAACAAAAATCCTGTTTTTATACAAATATTTTTAGTGCAAAAACAAAAGAAGGAAAACTGTAGGGGGGAATAATGTGCTATTTAAGCAGAATTGCCTCAGAAAGAAGTTGTCCTAGCTACTTTTTCAGAGTGGGAATCTTAGATTCTGGTGTTATGGATCTGGGTCATATAATGGATCATGTGTTTTATCTTTTAGGGATTAAAGGTCATAGGTTCATCCTTGGTATAAAACAAAATGGTAATTTATTCATTTCATTTGGTAGAATCTTATTGACCATTTGCTATGTTTTAGGCGCCATGCGATGTGCTTGGATACAGCAATATATGACACTGCCACATAATAGACATGAAACAAGCTAAATCCAAGAGCAAGTTATTTAATTATATTACTCTTAGTTTCACTTCTAATAAAGATTAGATAATGCTAGCATTTTAGATACTAAATAAATGTTTATTAACATGCTATTACTATCATCCACATTATCTTATAGAAGAAATCCTTGAAATATATTTTTCTCCATTCCTACATTTGAATTTTAAGGGTTAAAGCCAGTGGAAATGTAAACAGTTTAATTTTGCAAGTATTTTAATATTGCAAATATTCTAGTAGTCTAACATTTTAATAGTTTAATTGGCTAGTAATCAAGGTTAATATGATCTGTTGTTGAAGACTAAATGTGTTTTTCAGTTTTAAGAAAGTTACTTTTAATAGTTGCCTAGAATAAGAGGTTGATCTGGCAACAAGAGACTGACAGGAAGTTAGAAAAGTTATTAAAGGAAGTTTTTAGCTGAGAGAGAGTGAGCATTCACTCCCATAGCCTCTTCATTGTTATTCATTAGCCATGATAAGGACCTTGGGGAATTTTGAGAGTGTGTCCAGGAAAGGATCTGTCAAACTAGAGTAGTATCCCCTCCTTGAGAAAGGAAATAACCAGAAATCCCACAGCCAAGAGGCTGCCAAGGCTAGTTGGATGGATGGAGTAAGGAGAACTTGGTTGTCTCTTATGCTCCACTTGGCGTTTAAAGCAAGGCACTCGTTTACTCACTGATGAGGGGTGTGTGTGTGTGTGTGTGTGTGTGTGTGTGAGAGTGAGAGAGTGAGAGAGAGAAAGAAAGAGAAAGAGAGAGATCAGGATGATGGGTGGGAGTGGGGAGAAGATTTGGTGAAGAGAAGACCAGCATTATTTGGTATGGGTCAGGTACTGTGCCAGGTATATCCACGCCCAGTAGCTCAGTTACACAAAAACATTGGGATAGATGCTATTTTTCAAGTTCTGTGTGGAGTAACTGAAGTTTGGCGATGTTAAGCCATTTGCCCAAAGTTATGCAGGGTCCTGAAAAACATAATATAGTTGAGCTGGGCCCTGAAAAACAGTCATGCTGTTTTCAAAGCCTGTGCTTTGTGCATAACACTGTGCCACACTGTACTGCTTATCTTCTTCCTGAAAGCACTTTGAAGATGTGCAGAACTTTTTGTTAAATACTTTGAATTGTTTGGGTTAAAAATCAAGTACCACATGTTCTCACTTATAGGTGGGAGCTAAATGGCCATAAAGATGGAAACAATTGGCACTAGAGACACTAAGAGAGTCTGGAAGAGGAGTTTGGGCTCAGAAGTTACCTATCGAGTATAGTGTTCCTCTCCCGGGAATGGGTCACCTGTAAGCCCAATCTCCAACAGTGTGCAATGCATCCATGTAACAAACACACACTTGTATCCCTTGATTCTAAAATTTGAAAAGAAAATGGCCTTAAAAATGTTCTTGTTATGAGAAAAATCATGTCCTCCTAATGATAATCAAATCGATTTGTTCCTTATCTCCATCTCTCTCTGCATATGGTCTTGTGTGGATATTTAGAAATAGTTGAGTAGATTAGTTCTTGCCTTGAGGGTCCCGTGATCTAAAACAGATGACTTCAACTTTGGACACATTTGTAGAAGGAAGTTCAAAAAGAATTCAGAACAATGGATGATGCAGCGACACTGTGAATAAATATGTGTTTATACAATTGTAAGGTTTTATATTCATTGTTCTTACGTCCCAGTTGGGATTCAGAAAGTATTTACTTTATTTCCACACAGGAAAATAGCGCCTAGAGATCATTTTCTCTTAAAAAGTCCTTTCTGACTCTGCATGGTAGCTCATGCCTATAATCCCAACACTTTGGGAGGCTTAGGTAGGAGGATCGATTGAGGCCCGGAGTTCAGGACCAGCCTGGGCAAAATAGCGAGACCCTGTGTCTGTGAAAACATTATAATGGTTTCTAATGTTGTGTACCTGTAGTTTCAGCTACTCTGAAGACTGAGGTGGGAGGATTGCTTGAGGCCAGGAGGTTGAGGCTACAGTGAGCTGTGATCACACAACTGCACCTTAACTTGGATGACAGAGTGAGACTCTGTCTCTGAAAAAAATGAAAATTTAAAAAAAAGTTCTTTCATAATGAAGTGCCATTCTCCTTGCCCTGCCTTCTATTGCTCCCCACACTTGTCAAGCGACTGAAATGTTTAAGTAATAGTCACTATCTCAATGTACATAATTCTTATTTGAAGAGAATTATTACTTCAGTTCTAAAAATGGGGAAACTAAGTCAGCAGGAGGCAAAGTCGTTTTTTAAAATATTCTCCACTTCCCAAATGGCTGCTTCCTACCACATTTAACATCTCTGCTCTTCTAATTGAGGCTTACTCTGACCACCCTATTTAGAATCGTAAACTTCCCTCAACCCCCTTAATTACTGATCCTGGTCTACTTTTTGTTTTCTTTTTCTGTAACTCTTATCTTCTTACCATATAATTTATGCTATATGATTTACTTCATTGTGTCTATTGTTTGTCTGTCTTTTCCAAATTCTACTGCCTCTTTCAGAGTGAAAGTAGATCTTTGTTTTTGTTTACTGATATGTCCCAAACACTTAAAAACAGAGCCCAGTACATAATAGGCCCACAAATATTTATTGACTGACTGACCGTATGAGATGTATTATGTCATATTATTAAGAATGTAACTTTGGACTTCTCGTTTTCTTCCTTGTATCATGCATCCTAGACTTAGTTTGGTTTCTCATTTTGTCCTTGTATTCTCTAATACTGGACAAGAAGAATTTTGGACCTTTTTGAACACTGAGTTGGTGAACGCTACGTAGCAATGATTATATTTAAATGGTTAAGTTATAATTCTTTTCCTGCAAAGGAAAATACACTGTGAGTGTATTTAAGTATTATTGTAGGCCTCATGGAGAAGGAATCAAAACCAGAAAAGTTACTCATCTTGCTTGACATAGAAATGCATGTTTCTCCATAGAGGGAGGAGAAAAATGTCTTCAAGAGAAAACTAGCAGAATCAAGTCAATGAACCGCATTTTATCTTCTCTTTGGATAAGTAACTGTTAGTAATCCAGACACTTCATGAGCTTCCATTATGTAAAGTCTTTAGCAGAAACTAAAGGAGGGGAACCCAACCATAGTAATTTTAACATAAGAACAAAATAGAGCATGAAAATAAATTATTGAATCATTCTCTTTCAGTGTTTTTGAGTTAGAGCCAACCAATGGGCAGAGAATGAGATAGACTGGCTTTGTGTTTGTGGATATTTTAATAAAGTAGCACAAGTAATCAGCAAACAGTGGACTGTTTTGGATCTACTGGCCATCCCTTGTGAGTTCACAGTTGAATTGGACAGTCCTCGATGTACTTTCCCTTTTTCTTTCTTTCCCACATCTCTTTATTCCTTTGTGATTGTTTTAAACTTCATAAAAATCTGCCTGATCTGTCCTCTCCAAACAATGAAGGTTTATCCTTTGTAAGCCGCCTCTACTCTCCCCACAGGCTGATTATGTGTAATATCCCTATATTATTAAAATAAAGCTTAAGCACATTTAGTGGCTTTTGTGTCTACTCTGTTGTTGCTGAGTTTAAGAACTATTAGAAATAATTCCCTCTTGTATTTTCACACTTAGGAGCATGTGACGTTCTCTTCAGTATTACACTAATCATATTTTGGCAGGTTTTTCTGGAGCAGATGCAGAAACAATCATACAATTTTCCAGAGTATATGATTTTAGCTCCTTTGACTTGGGCCTTAAATCTACTTTGACTTGTTGTCTCTGGAAGTGCTTACTGTTCTCGCGTGCTTGCT